ATATATATATATATTTTTTAAAGATTTTAGCAAATATAAATTTTGTATAAAATATTAAAGTAATTTTTAAATAATTCTTCTTTTATCTAATTTAGATAAAAGGAGAGTTACTTAAAATTTAGATAAAATAATGATATATATTTTCTACAAAAGATCTTAGCAAAAATAAATTTGTATAAAATTTTAAAGTAATTTTTAAGTAACTCTTCTTTTATCTAAATTGGATAATACAATAAAGAATAAATTAAAGTTATTGCAATTTTATTAGCGAAATACAATAAAATAATTAGACATGAAAATAAACAAATAAATTAAAGATATACTTACCTGCAAAAACGAACTACTAAATTCAGTAAAATTTAGTAATTCGTTTGTTTTATAGATGAGCATATTTTACAAAGAAAAGAGGACCGCCGATAAAATTGACGGGGATGGTACGTAATGAGCCTTTACAGCTCATTTTTGCTAAATTATACCTTAAATTGATACACTGTATGTTTAGAAGAGATTGAATTTATTAAAAATCTCTATAAAAATCTCTACAGAAATTTTGATACATACTAATAATTATGTTTGATAAAAACGAACTGAAAATTTGTATAAAGAAACATAACTTCGTAATATTATAAGACAAAATTCACATTAAATTAACTTGTTTTTTAATTTCGTTTATTAAAATTTAATAATTTTTATTTACATATATAGGAAATGCGAAATTAAAATTTTTTCGTTCAAGGAATGAACGAAAATTTAATTATCCTTTTATGCCTGGATGATCGACACGTTTTTATATCCTGAGGATTTAGAACAGAGACGAACCACATCTACTTTCGATGATACAATTTTATCGATAGTATCAGAAAATGTACATAGTCATGTAGTTCCTAAACTGAAAATGGATGTACTGGCGGTAGTGTATGGACGATTTCGGCGGTAACATGAAAAAGGTCGGTATCTCTCAGGTTTCTCTCTATCGTCAGTAACGTAGCTACGTAGTTCTCAAATCGAAAATAGATTTACAGGCACTAGTGTACAGGAGATTTTGACGGACCTATGAAAAACTTCGGGATGACCAGCCATATTGGTTGCCATGGTGGTCAAAGTCATGGCTGTGATCAAAACACAAACAAACCAGGAGCTTTCTAAAAGAACCTGTTTCGAATCGATGCTATTCGAAACATCACGTGTTTGTACCAGTAACGTCAAATTCGCATGTACAGATGGTTTTCTAAGATTTTCTACTGCGGTCTGTTACGTGCATGCGTTTGGAGCAATCGCAGGCAATGCCAAGTCGCGACAACAGTGTTGACAGGCATAGAAAAAAGGTAGATTGTGCATACAAATGTCTCAAATATTACCTCGCTTTCTTATTATTTCTTAGTTTATTTATATATTATATATTATTATATATTATTATATATTATTTATTTTTATCACATTTTTGTAATGTTGCTTTTTTCATACTTTTTTCATTATTTTTTTAATGCTACTTTCTTTATACATTATTTTTTTTATTTTCTTTGCATATATTGCTGCTTTTCATTTTATTTTCTTTGCATATATTGCTGCTTTTCATTTTATTTTCTTTATATGCTTTTGGAGGACTAGTCCTAGAACGTTAATAGCTTTAGCTATTTATCTACAGCCTTGAATAAAAATATTAAGCATCTTATTTATTAATCATTATTTATAGTTTTAGTTCAAGCAAAAATTGATTTATGGCATTTGCTGTAAATTATTCTTTGTTTCAAGCAAATTTATGTATAATCAATAGATAACAATGAATTTCAGATAAATAAAAAATTAAATGCCTAAGATTTTTGAACAAAGTTGTATCTCTTCATTTAAATAAAATGGTTCCTATTGACATTTTCTAACATTTGATTTTATTGTAATCGTAGCGCAGCAGTCGTAAAGTTTCAATTACAGAAAATGAATTGGAACCAGTACATAAACCACTGCGTTACAGACGGTTTCATAGGAGTAGACGCCATTCAAGAGTCAAGGGAGAATTTGAAGAATTGACAGATAAAAATGGAAACAGCAATGGTGTCACAATGCCTAAAAAAGGTAGCAAGCATAATATTCAAAAGAAACTTGATAGATTAGCTGAAGAAAATCGGATATTAACAATGAAATTAGAAAGTTGTAATATAAGCCCTGGTAAATACCTGCTAATAATATACAAGAATAGTTTGATAAGTTAATAACTTTTCAAAAAGAGACTATGTTGAAAAATAAGTTGAATATTGATAAAAAAGAAATTTGACTGACTATCAAACTGCCTTGTATTTTACGATATAAATAATATTCGTTTGTAACGAGCAATCAAGAAAATATTTTATAAAATTTCAGAAACTATTACAGAATTAAAAGAAAAGGATTCCTTAATATCAAAAATTTACAATAAGTACCAGAAATTGTTGAAAAATCACGACAGTTTACAACAAGAGTATGAGAAAGTAAGTGCTCTTTTGGCAGAACGTGAAACGGAATACAATCAGTTGCAAATGCATCACAAGAAATTTACAGAAGTTTTACAAAAAGTAGAGAAAACCAATTCCAATCTTCTAACATTTAATCAAAGATGTAAGACTGAAAATGTTCAGTTAAATGAAGATGTTCTGCTTCTTAAGCATGTGATATATCGATTGAACGCAGAGCTTGAAAGATATCAAGATAAATTAAAGGAATCTGGACAAAATACTTTACCTAAAAATGTTAATGATATATTAGATTTTAAAAGATCAGCAGATGACATTAAAACAGTATCGGAATCTTGGGGTTCGGTGAATACGCATGTGCTAGGTCCACTTTTAGACGCTTATCAAGAAAGCTTATCGGAGAAACAGGAGCTTGTAAACAGATACGAAGAAGACATCGCGAATTTTAGTACCAGATGCAAAGAAGTTATCATAGAGAATGAATGTATGCAGAATGAAATGGAGAAGTTGAAGTCACAGGTATTATATTTATAAAAGAACATTGTCCTGCATCTTACAAATTATTTTAGTAAAAGTTTTCCAGTGTACCAGGTACACAGATGAAATCAAGATGATATCCCAGGATGCTGATTTGCTCAAGGAATTGAACGAGTGTTACACGAAACAGGCGACTCACCAAAAGCAGAAGATACATGAGATCCATTCGTTGTACGAACAGAAAGTGGGGGCAATGTCATTTGACAATAACAGACTTCACGAAGAATGTCTTGCTTCTAAGACTGAATTGAGTAATCTTCAAGGAAAATATGATATTCTTCACAAGGAATATGAAAAGTTGCAAAACGATAATACAAAAACAATGCCTGTTCATGTTCATAATGCTGCAGTCGAAGAATGTAAAGAATTGTTTGATAAATTGAAGCGTCAGTATGAAACTGAGAAAGAAAAATTATCCACTCGCATTAAGGAATTGGAAGAATCTCATGGTCAAAATAAAAGTCAACTGGATATAGTTACGATTGAAAGAAATCAATTGAAAGGATTGAATAAAAGTTTTGAAAAACATCTGAAGTAAGTTCCGTGTGATGAATGAGTATAAATTACAAATAATAAAATAAATATAATATATTTAAACTATTTATTTTTTTGTTTTTTCTCTTTTTAGACGTATACAGCATAAATTGGAACATTTTCAAAAAATCGCGCATTCTATGCAAATATCCCGAGATTCCTTTAAGAAACAGTTAAGAAAGACCACATTATATTGCGAAGAGTTATTTAATGAATATGAAAGAATAGCCGCCGAACGGGATAAGTTAGTAAAACTTTTATATGAAACAGAAAATGAAAATGC